TGACTAAAGTCCTAAAATATAAAAAGCCAGGACAACATACAGCTGGGTAAAGAGCGTTGCTGTGTGGGAAAGAGAGCTGGCAGGTTTTCTTGTGCATAAGGTGGAGATAAATTAAATGGTAGGTGGTAGGAGAAAAGTGCCATATGTGGGAACTTTAATAACACAGCATTGTTTTCAGAACTTCTACATATTTGCAATATGGCAATAACTTAGCATCCTCTCTGAATTTATTCAGTTTCCACCATGTATCCCTTTATGCTTAGAAAGCACATTCCTCATGTGCACCTGCAATACCACTTCTATTTGAGGGCTGACCTGGGCTGAGGTGGAGCCTTCTGCAGGTCAAATCCACGCAAGTTTTTTTGAAGTGCTGTGTGTTATTTGTATTTCACCCAGAGTTGGATTTGGGATATGCATTTAGCAGCTCAAAAAATCTGGTGTAGATTTAGCAGAAGATGCTTTTCTGCGAGCTAAACAGAAGAGGTTTCCTTGCTTTTGATCCCCAGCATATGTAGGTTGGTACTTGACTTTGGGATACCTTTTTATTATATTGTTTGACTTCACTTGTGACTTCTACTTTTAGCAGCTTCCAGAAAAATAATTATCAGCCTGCTAGCATCTAAATGACATCACTCAAATATATTCTGATATATTTGAGACCTTGATGTTACTGTGCATGTCTCTTACTCTTGAGAGGGCCTGTCATAATGGGCAGAGAGGGATGCGTAACTGTGGAAAGGAGAAAAATTTCCAAACCTTGAATTTTTTATGTGTATATATACAGAGAGCTTGTCTAATTCAGAACTCTTGTTATCATCATGAAGTGTTTTGTGCTAGAGAAGTGCAGCCCAGCCTCTGGACAAAATTTGAAGACAGTCACTTCTTCCCTGCAAGCAAGAAATAGAGGGGGAAAAAAAAGGAAATTTTGCATGCCTCTGGACCCATCAATGGCAATTATTTGTTTAAAGAAACAAATTACAGTTTTGAATTTCTTGCAATAAGTCTGTTTTTGAACTATAAAAACAGTGTTTCAATAAAATGTTTGTGGCTTTGCTGAAGGGCAAGTTGAATACATGATATAATTTTGTTAAACACAAGTTTCAAAGTGTTAACCCTGCAAGTTTCTTGAAACTTTTGATAAAAAGAATTTCTGTGTGATGCAACTGTCAGTGGCTTTCTGAATTCTGATTTTGTACTTTAAAAGAGATGCTACCCTGTGTTGGGTGCAAAATGTCACTCACAGATGAAGAGTAGAAGAGACATCAATTCTTTTACTTTATTACTGTGGCCACTGAAATGTTATCAAGTCTCATTGCATCTAGTATATGTTCAAAGCACAGCACCTGAGATAGGTCCTCAGACTGCTTCCATTCTTCTCAAACATTTAACACACAAACCTACATCATCATTTTACTTCTCTTTAGAGATTATTTATTCTTTTTGTGGCATAAAGATTACCTGGTGTGAACTTTGCAATCCAAATTCTGCATACTTTTGTCAAGGGAACAAGTGACATTTCATATTCCCCTTCCAGGATCCTTTTACAGGTCTTTTCCTCTTATCTCACCTCTGTCATGCTCCTTGCTACCCCTTCACTCCGTAGTAAAGAGAGAAGTGCTTTGGGGCAAGGCAAGAGGAAAAAAAAAGTCAAATACTACAATTCAAATTGTAAACTTTTTTGCCCATTGATTCCAATGTTTCAGTAACTTGATCCAAACTAACAAGAAAGATAACAGACAAGTTAGCTAATCATAATGTGAGCTCTCTTCTACTTCTCCCCACTAAGAAAACATACACTAGAAAAACAGATACAGGACATAGGGTCTCACTGCAGTTAGGATGCCAGAGGTGGGGCATCTGTGTTCAATCAGAAATACCTTTAAAACAAACCTTTAGATGATACCAGTATTCAAGTGCATATACGCTGAAGTGCTTTGCACTAGCATCATAAGCATGCAGTTGTTTTATAGACCACCTTTATAGTCAGATCTCATTACTGCAATGGTTACTGGTGTGTATGTATTATAAGGCTAATTATTTATGGTATATATGGTTCATTTGCACTGGGTGCTGTCAGCTCAGGCACGTGACTTGCACTAGGAGCAAGCACGGAAGGACACATGATACACACAGGGAAGTGAGCATAATTGTAAAATTAATTTCTTCATAAGTAAGAGATGAATGTGCAGCTTCTCAGATTCTTTCACATTAAATATGCTAAATTTACTAAAAAATCTATCTGTGTGTTAATTCTTATTGTTTATAGAACAGTGGTATCGCATGTCTTCTTACAGGTACAGGGCTTCAGAAAACACAACTTCACAATAAAATCTTGGCAAAGCTAATGTTTATGGTGTCCTCTGCAAAAGCTTTGTAAATTTTCCAGGCGTGCTCCCCTACTCCTGTTTCCAGTGTTACATTCCTTGAAAAGATCTCTAACATTCTGTGATTCTGTGATTTTACAGCACTCCCCATGTCCCTTCACCCATTTATTTTGGTTCTCACTGAGACTGTCTACAGAAGTGTCACGTCGTAGTAGGAGCAGCTATGTAGTAGGGCAGAAGAGTTGCTGTTGAGGAACCAGAATGTGCATTAGAAGTCTTCTGTCATCTGCTTCGGACTGGCTCATCTGGCCCATTGGCCTTGATGTCCATTAGCAATCAGTGAGTGCATCAACTAGTTTTCCAGTTCAGCTTCACACACAAGTCTAATTTGTACAGTCCAAACTTACTCTGAAATTAAAATTGAAGCATGGTAAATGGGGTCTAGCAAAGTTGCTTCAAAAGCATGCTCATGAGCCAACCTAGTACACTAATGTAAGTGCAAGCTGAGTGCTCCTGCAGGGGAAAAAAAAAAAAAAAAGGCAAAACAAAACCCAACAATGTTTGATTTGCTTTTGGAGTGGACTACTTTGTGGTCTTAACGTAGCACAAGTATTTAAATACTGTTTCATTGCTTCCAGGAGATGACATCAGTGGGCACATGCCAGAGTGTAACTGGCTGATGGCCTCTGATAAGAAACTTGCTTGAGATAAGAAACAAGGTTTGATGTGATTCACTTTAACTAGTGATTACTGGTTGACTAGATGATGATTAGCAGAGAATCATTTACAGTTGTTTACAAGACCCAGCACTCTAACTCTGTTACTGGCATGCCCTGGGATCTTAAGAACACATAAAGGAAGAAAATAAGTTGAGTTGCCCAAAGTTTGGTTGTTTGCAAAACAGATAAAAAAATTCCAAAAGCTTTGAGATTGTTTACATTTTCTCTGTGTCAAAACCCTGCATTTCAAAACTCTAGTAAAACCAAGAAATTATGGATGTGTTAAGATGTGTAAATGAATCTGGCTGTGGCTGTTTGTTTTTTTGGGTTGGTTTTTTTTTTTTTCAGAAAGGGGAGAGGGGCAACTACTGCAGACCGGAAACAATTTTAAATGTTTTAATTGGAGCATTGTTTTAATTGGAGCGGTGTTTTTCATTACAGTGCTCTAGAGGTTCTCTATGTGTCACAGTCACAGCGTATTACAATAGTATATTGTGTAAATACAGTGACGTGCATTTAAAATAATCATCACACCTGGTGGAGATGCTCCTCATCCTGAACATGTCAGATGAGCTGTTCTCATCCAGTGGAAGTACAAATCTGGTGTGGAGTCTCTCACCCCAAGTTAGTCATGTATGCTTTACTAGCTGATATAATTGATAACAAATAGTTTAGTGTATCTATACACTTGACTTCCGGACTGAAATATTCCTATGTTGGTGGAACATTGTGGTAGATTCTGTTGTGACTATTTATGGCTCTCTGAACTCTGCTAATGTTTTCTGTAATTGAGACATCTCAGTTAATTTCCATAAACTTTTTGTCTGTGAAAGTCTTCAAACTACATGAAGATGTTTTTATAGCTGATTATTTTATTTGGTTGGTCTTGTCAAATTTGTTGGGAGTAGAAAATTCACTAATAATTTTGGCACAGGTCAGGTCGTTTTGTTTTGCTGTTTCTGTGGTAGTGTTGCATGTGTTTCTCCTCATCCCAGCTATTAATATGATGCAATAAGGTACGAAACCTACTGAAATCTGGTTTTAGTAATAGACAAAATGTACAGGAAAGGACTAAATGTATTTTGTACTTGCTGGCTAAACCCCTTGATGTATTCTCATAGTTGTGGGCTCTGATCCATAAAGATTTAATATGTAGCTGTGTTTCAATAGCAGTTAACCCACTCATGAGGCATGTACCTTTGTGTCTCGAGTCTGGATGGTCTTACGATCTCATTGCAGTTAAAAACAGAGATCCCTTTAAAAATGAGACTGAGCAGACTGAGGGAATATAGTGATAGGATGAGGGGTAACAGTTTTAAACTGAAAGAGAGTAGGTTTAGATTAGATATTAGGAAGAAATTTTTCACTGTGAGGGTGGTGAGACACTGGAACAGGTTGCCCAGAGAAGCTGTGGATGCCCCATCCCTGGAGGTGTTCAAGGGAAGGCTGGATGAGGCTTTGAGCAACCTGGGGTAGCGGAAGGTATCTACTAGAAGGTTCCTTCCAACCCAAACTATTCTATGATTCTATGAAGTTAGTGGTTTCATAGACTATACTAATGCTTTTTGTTCCTTACCTCTTCTTTTGAATGATTAAACTTCAAATTTAGTCTGTCACATTATGATTTAAATACAAATATAGGCAGAAGTTACTGTATGAAACGTTGCAAATATTGCTTAATAAACCATGGAATGTAGTAAGGTTATTTACAAATGTTTTGTTGGCCTGTATGTTAGGAGTAGTATCAGTGCTGGTCTAATGATCCTCCAAGTTAAAACAAGGATAGTATTACCAATGTCTTGCTTAACCTGGGATTTGGGACTCTGCTTTTTGACTCTATGAAAATATCTTACAGTGTATGAAATATCCTAGGCACAGTTAACTTTTACATTTATGACACATATTGTTTTTGCCTTTTAAATTACTCTCAGTTATAGTTTCTTTACCTTCCTTTCAGAAAAGACGACGGCGGATTGACCGAAGCATGATTGGGGAACCAACAAATTTTGTTCACACAGCTCATGTAGGATCAGGAGACCTATTCAGTGGAATGAATTCGGTAAGCATGAGTGGATGAAGAATATTTAATCTTAGACAGGAACAGTCTTATGTATATTGTGGCTGAAGTAATTAATCTTCCAACTATAAGAAAGAATCTCTATAAAACTGAAGAACAACCTGCTAATGTTTTAGTTCCAAGTCCTGAATACTTGCATGCAAGATTATGGAATATAATTTTTAAAATTCCTATATTTGTTGACAATACATAGCAGATGCTGTATAAATTTTACAGGCTGTGTGTAGAATACTTTCTAAAAATTAGTTCTGGTGGTATGTATGAACTAAAAAAGAGGTATATTAAAGAAAACTTCTTAAAAGTGTTTTATAATTGTCTAGATTTCTTACCTTAAATGCTTTAAGCTATCTTAGATATCGTTTGTGTAAAATTCTAACTTACCTTGGTTTACGGTGCACACAAATATTTTTGAGTGTCCTTGTTGAGGTTTTTCTATACTCTGTAGCCCTGTTTGCAATGTGAAATGTTTCCAGAGCAAGCAACAATGTCACAGGCAAGGTTTTCTGGCTTCCTGTAAATGACAGGAGCAATAAATATTTTTATCTCTCTGAAAGTGAAAAATAGAGGCTAAGGTAGATACAAAAAATCAACTTATGCAGATAGATTTCTTTTGTACAGCTTCATATTTACGTGAAATGTCAATCTGTTTTTAAGGTCAATAATATACAGTCTAAAAAAGGGTTGCAAGTAAGGTTATTTGTAGTTTCAATTAGTTTACAGCTTATTGAGATCAGACAAAAGCTTTTTAACGTATTGGGGAAGGGCAAAGCTAGAAAATCTGACATGACAAGGCATTTTCCCAGAAACAACATAATGGATTGGAAGTGATTTGTACTAAAACATCTGTAAGCAAGTTAAAAGGACAAACACAGCTTCAACTGGATAAAATTAAGTTAAAGCTAATTACTTAATACAATATATTACATTAATATTTAAAACCATTATGAACTGAAATATTAAAGTGATAATAAAGTGAGCAGTTTTTCTTTTTTTTTAAAAGCACAGCTTTTTGCTTTTTAAATGTCTTCTGTCCTGTGAGAACCTTCCTCATTCTCACAGCTGAGCTGCCTCGTGAGGTTTGTGGTGATTGCCTGAAACTTTGCTCTTTCACCTCAGACTTTCCCCCTACTTGCCCTCACCTTTGTGTAATCTCCAATTAATCTCCAGATAGTAGGTAATCATTATTGTCTTTCTACATAGCCTTTTTCATTTTGAATGCATATAACTGGCTATCTCTTTCACTCTCTCAATTTTTTCTGTTTGGACAAAGTGCTGCGTCAGTAGCTAGAGTGATTTTTCTGATCCTAGATAGAAAGCATCTGTATGCATAAAAATAATCCTTTTTTCCTCTCTCTCTTCAGAAGCAGAAATCTCTACTTTTTCACACTGCTTATTTTTCTGCCTCTTTTTTGGTGACTTGCTGTGGTAATGTTGCATCTAATATCCTTGTTCAGTCTTTGCAGTGTAAATTCCAGGATTATGGTGTTACATGTTTTAATTAATATAATCTTCCACATGTTTTTCTGCTACTTAATTTCCTTTATAAGTATGGACATTGTAATCCTTGAACCTCCTTGTGCCTTCACTCTTCTGAATACCTTAGGAGGACCCCCTGCTAATTTCATTAGCATTTCCCATGTAAATTTGATTCTTCATCCAGTATTTACTCTATGCCTTTTTTCACCAGCATAGTTCTTCATTGCATATCCTTATGATTCTAGAGTACAGTAGTTTCCTGAATGTTTTTGATTTTATGTTTGCCTCCTCTGTAGAGTGCCTTGCTCCTTTGTCAAGGGCACACTTAAACAGTAGCAACCCTCTGTGCACTGTTTCTTTACTCATTCCCATCACTTACTTTCTTATTTTACCTTCATATTCCTTGGTGAAATCTCTCACTTTCTTCTGCTTCATATTCCTCAGTTTAGTCTTCAATTTCATGTGTTCTGTCCTTTTCTTAGCTTGCCCTTGTTTTCTCTCTCAAGGACCATCTGTGCTGTTTCCTAGTTCTAAAAGGGAGAGAAAGAAGGAAATTAATGAGATAGATAAGCAGCACAACAGATTGTATGATATTTAACTGGTGCAATCCTTTTCACCTTCCAAAATCTTTAAATCCTTATCCTACCTAGATTAGACATAAGAGAGAAGAACCTTGCTGTTATGTATCATCAAAGGAAGGTAATGGCATCTTTAGGAAAGAAAAAAATAATTGCATTTCGTGGTGCTTGTTCTTGTAGCTCAGACTTCTTCAAAAGGAGGATGCTTCAAAAGGAATACCACCTTACAAGCCTACAGTTGTTAGACCTGCTTTTTGATCAGTGTTTTTAACATTGTGTGTCTCCCATATAAGTTTTCATTACACAATAGCGACTGAACTGTTAATGCAGTCAAGTTTAATTTGCTGCATTCTCTTTGCTTGAGGTGTAACAGCGTCTGCATTTTAAGCTGATTGTTCCTTACCCACTAATGCAACCTGTCTATATGTGTGACTGAAGTACCAGTGAAATTGTTCTAACCTTTAGAAGAAGTACTCATAAAAATTTGCACTTTAACCTTGCAATTTTTGTTGATTTGCTGTTCTCCAAAATTTTCAAGTTGTGTAGGCAAGTTTTCAGGCTGGAAGGTGACATGACCTGGAGATGTTTATCGAGCTCTTTTTCAGGAGAGACAAGGCTTTATCCAGATGAAATAAATGCAATCCTCTAGTCATTCTTGTGAATGCATCTACATTTAGATTAATTATTTTTTGAGGAAAAAAAATATTAAATTCAAACTCCTTTTGTTCCAATGAGCAACAGAAGATGCTCAGTGAAGATTACTAGCTTGGTGAAATGTGAAAGTTCTTAAACACCACTCCATTAATATGGTTGCACTTCTCCACACTTCCTTACCAAGTTTCTAGTCTCTGATGTCAGACCTGCTAGAGTATTGGCTCTGAACACTTTTCCCTGAAGAAAAATGTGAATATAACGTTGCTTTACTGCAGTTGTATCACTTACTTGAGCAAAGCACCAAGGTAGAAAATGGCTTTACATCACACTGCTTAAATACATAAAAATCAGATCTTTGCCGCAGTGTTGCAATATGCCATACTGTTGAAGGCAAGGATCCTAAAACAGGCTCTTTGTTTACATTGGTTTGAGAAACAGTGTGTAAGAAAGAGTTGTGATGATTCATTTTGTGTGTGTGTATGTGTTTTGTTTTGATGTTGAAAAGAATATACTCCTTTTGTCTTTGTAGAGAGGGAAAATATTTTGCAAGCTACTTGGAAATATTTCTCCAGTGCTGTTTTAATACAGCTTTCTAGAGATGTTTTGAGGTTTCTATGAAGGAGCATACATGTAATAATTGAAAGTGGTGCCCTGCAGGCATAGACTTTGCTGCAAGTTCACTTTCAGAAGCTGTAGCCTTGAATGAATATATTATTTTGTGCTCATTGTGTACTTGTTTTGTGTGCTGTGGGGTGCAGAGAGAAAAAGGCCAGACCTTTAAGATTGGAGTTGTCTTTCTGCAGGCACTTGGAGATTACTATTTTGACTCATGCAACACAAGCATGGAAAAATTGTGGATTCTCTTCATTTTTGTTGATAAAGGCGATAAAAGCCATAGAGGGTTGTGCATGTGTGTGTATAGGGTTTTTTATCTATTTATTTGCATCAGGCTAAAAATACCTTCAAATAAGATATTTCCAGGGAAGTTGATAGATGAGTATGATTTAAACAACAAATACCCTGCCATTTAAAGGAATAGTAACAACTAAGAAAAGTGGTGTATGCTGTTACAAAAATAGATAAATAAAAAACCTTCTACAAACCAAAAGCTTCTTTTTTGTTAAGAAAGTCCTTTTTTAGTTATTTGAAATTAGCCATACAGTGCAGATACTATCTAGATATTTTGTAAGTTGGCTATTATATTTTTAATGCAACGGTGTCAAATTCTCTGGTTTATCATACTTGGCAAAGAACATTTTCCATATAACAAGATAAATTATAGCTTGTCGGATGGAGTAGAGTTGGATACCAGTAAGAGATTTGATTAATTTTTTTGGAGTAATCAAGCCAGTCACTGAAAGCCTGAATCAGCCAGTTTTCTTTGGGAGAGAGGAAAAACTTCTACCTCAGCACCAGTTCCTCCATGTCTCCTGCTGAGCTGCATGCAGAAGTGAAAATTCCAGCAAGCCTACGCTGTACATGTCCTCATGCAAAAGTAATGTAGCTTTAATGGTAAAGGAGCACTTGAAAACCAAACCTAAACAAGAAATAAAATTGGAAGCAAGAAGATGCCGTAGCTCACTAACCACCTTTCTTGTTTTCTCTGCCCCCCTTTCCCTTCTATCTCCAGGTCAGCTCAATTCAGAACCAAATGCAGTCCAAGGGAGGCTATGGAGGTGGCATGTCCGCAAATGTTCAGATGCAGCTTGTAGATACAAAAGCAGGATAACCTTGGGTAAACCTTTCCAGTAAGTATTGCACTCTGGGTTTTAGGCACTGTTAGAGTAGTAGGAAGAACAATCATACTACCACTTCATTAACTCCCTATAAATAGCTGTGTCTTTACAACACCCAATTTCAAAATGCATTTCTGAGTAAAAAATTCAATATGGTGTAAGCATGTTAATTTTTTTTACACAATGAACAAGAGATTCTCTTGACTGCATCGGTCTGTCCATAAGCCTGTTTTATACCTAAGATGATCTTGATCAGCTGCTTCAGAGCCGACCCAGCTCCGACAGACCGACTGATCGTGAGGCACAGGTGGGATTTTCAGGAGATTCCTTCGACAGGAAAACCCCGAGACCCCGAGACAGCGGCGTAACCCAAATCCCACCTCCGTACACAGTGAGCACGCAGCGTGGGGGCACCACCTGCAACAGGCTGCAACACGCTGCAGCAGCAGAGAAGGCGGCTCATGTAGCAGGACGCTGAAGTTTTGCCGGGTGCAAAAGCCTCACAAGGCAGCCCTAGGAGCCCAGCGAGCAGGCAGGGTTCCTCTGAGGAAGAGGGAAGAACTAAAGACCAAGTGCTGCAGCGGTGGGTGTGGGAGGTTGTGTGACAGGGCACAGGAATTCTGCCCCTCCTCGCCTGTGAGTCCTACCTATCTACTGGCAGCCTGTGACCGCTCTTTTTGCCATGGTCTCCACCAGGCAGGGA